AACCACTGGCTGCCTGATTATGTTTATCATATTTCTATTGGAATGAAATCTAATTTCTGTTCCATTATTCATCTCTAGTGCATCATGTCATATGTGGGACTACTGGTGTTGATTTCCTATCTACTAGTGTTTGGTAACATTTCAATGATTTTTCAATTATAGAGATATCTAGTTTTACCGTAAACTGTAGCAGCCTTCCTTTCTTGTTAACAAAGAAGAGAGCATCTTCTGTTGTAACTCTGCGAGCTTTACCCATTACTCCGTCCCACGGGGGTCCTGTCACTACCTGTCTTCCCTTTTTCATGGCAGTACAGTTGATCCACAATAGTTCATTACCAATCCTTTCCCTGATTAGTAAATTCCCATTTACATCAACCAGAAACAAACTTCCATTGTAGCTTCCTAGTGCACCTCTTATGGCTGTTGAATGCTCATGCCTTAGCCATACCCAGACATTATCAGTGTATAGATATTCATAAGTCAAGCCATTGTCTGTTATGAGGAAAAATGATCTATCTGCATGCATCACTCGTATCCGGAAGTTGTTGCTAATGCTGCTTGTTAGAAAATTGTAGGACTCTGATGTGCCAGTTTCATGATTACTCATAGGTATATAATGTTGGTGTTCTTCAGCCTTTCGCCTTCTAGCAGGTGCAGTTGTGCTCAAGTCATTTGGTTCATAGTATGATATTACATCCTTTGTTCCTGTCATGCAATTTGATGGTCCACGTTCCTCAGTGCAGTATTCTGCATTCCATCCTTCAGTTTCTGGGGCATCTAAGACTGACCATTCATACCTATTTGAAGTTTTCCTTCTTAAATTACTCAGCTGAGTTGGACCAGATCCTTCACCTCCAAATCCAGGCAAATGCAACTCCCCTAGTCTGCCATCATCTAATGGGAAAATTAGTCTCCCACTTTGAATTTCTATCCCTTGTATTCCTCGTGCAACCTTTGCATTTTGTGGCTGCAGATGATTTATCCACATTCCTTGAACTTTATCCCAATCAGTGCCACCTTTTACCAGAAAAAAAAAAGTCGATCAACTTACTGATGGATGTAGCCTAAACTACTGTCATTGATTGGTACTCAGAAACATTTTAGGCAAAGATGTACTGTAGCACACCAGCAAATTTAATCAATTTAACCCTATTATTGTTGTGAAAGTATACTAGGATGTTTAGACTAATAACAGTATATTCTAAGTGATCCTCAAAAATAAATACTAGAGGTACTATTATTAGCTTGTTGCCATCATCGGTTTTCATAAATCAATATCTGAACTGAACTATGATGCCAATGACAAAAATACTGTATTGCATTTGAACATATAGTGTTCATCATGCTAACCACGGTTGTGGTTTCCGATAGTTATCTCAATCTTTTAAGAGAATGTCAATTTAATAGAATATTTCTGAAGGGTATATTTTTAAATTAACTAAAGTATTATCTAATTTAGGGAATAAATTTGATTATTCTCAATCTGAAAAACATTGATGACTTCTTGTTGCTAGTGCACAGAATAACTTGGCAAAGGAATAGTATCAAAATTAGAGCAGAAATCAGAGACTACCTGGATTCTTGGGAAGCTGATACTCAAAAACATATCCTTTTGTTGTGGCAAAGAACAATGAAAATATCTTTTCATTTAGTTCACTTTGTTGAACAGCTGTAGTGGCACTCAATTGGTGTCCTTTGGGAGCTCCATGGACTGCCCACTTCCACTTTCTTTTGTGCAAGCGCCGCTCTACCAAAAAGCCATCCTGTGGATCTATTAGTTCCCTTGACCAATTAAACTTCCTAGGTTCGCTGTACATGGACTGATATCCTAAATGATCTGTATATTAGCAGTCATAAATTTGAACCATCAAGATGTAGGTGCTGAGTGTACTTATAAATAATGATTCTCATGAATATCTAGTTAATAGAAGAGTAAGATCAACTGGATATCTAGATATTTGCTTTGCCGCCTACTTAAGCTTTATAACTTTTGGTCACTATTTGTTAACTTTGGTGGAATCAGTTACACTTCCAGCATGAAGTTTATATTGAATCTAAAAGTTTGAAGAAAGCCAATTTGTACCTTAGTTAAGAGGAATAGAGATGATGAGTGAGCTCCTGCCAAGCCATGTAAAGTGCATCCTCTTGATGGTCTCAATGAAGATTGTTTGATGGATGGATCACTCCAAATATGTTTCTTCCACGATGGCTTTGACTTCTTGTCAAACTCATACAGATCTCCACTAGAGCTGCAGCACAATCTTAATCTTCAGAATGGCATGGAAGGGTATAAAAAGGATCTAGAATACTAGTGCTGTGTACCTACGTTCAGAAAGATCAATTTAAGAATGAAATTGCATGATTACATGGTTTTATAACAAAAAGAACCACATTCATATGTATCATAGTGCTTCTGATATTTTCTTTGATCATAAATATGACTCGTACTGCAAACAGCTCAGGTAGGCAACCATATGTGATGTGGTAAATGTAGAAACTTCTTCTTGTTTTCTATTGCTGAAGTACATCTTTTGTGACTGTTTTAATCCTGATCCTGAATATCTACAATCAGATTACATCATCTTACCTTATTGTGAAAACAATGCCTGGTCTAATAGCACCTGTGTCGGCTATGGCAGAATTGTCTCCTCCTGGTGGTCGACCATGATTTTCCCACCTATTCAAGTTCAGAGTTGTATGTGCACTTGTTAAAGTCATGTCACAGGTTCCGCACATCTAGTTCTTGAAGCAATTTGGTAGTAACACCAGAAGCAGCAAAAGTTAGGCAATGGCTTCCCTTACCTCAAAGGCTGAAACTCACTGATCTCTATCAATTCCCCAGTAACTGTGGTTAAATACAGCCTCCTGAAGTATAAAGCAAAGAAATGTCTGTCACTTTATCATTATTGCCAAGTTGGTGTTTCAAAATGAAAAAGGATCTTATGATTTCTCCGAAAGAAAATGTTTGACTATTCTTTTAAATCTGTACCGGATTACTCACTCTCCATCATAAGATACAACACCAGATTTGATCTGTATAACCATTCCTGGTTCTGCTTCTTCAGTTCTTGTACTCTGTTCAGTTGTAAGCATAAATTCTGTCCAAATGGGCTGAGAATCCTCATTCAGTTGCAGCTGAAATATTTTGATCATGAGTAGATTAGATGGCTCAAAATATGCAACTCATTCTAAGCTTTCTAATCCACAAAATAAATAATCGTTCAGCAATTGAGTCTACTCTGTCATGAAAGGTTTACTTACATGTATGACTTAGGGCATGTTAACAGTGCATATCATTGCTCTTTCTTTTTGACGAAATATTAGTCCCTGTTTTAGTTGTTATGTGTTCATAGTTATAATAGAAAAGCTATCTGTTTGATGATAAAAAGGAGGGGTTTTAGTACTTCATGCTTTCTTATATAATCATTGAATTGCTACAGTGTGGCTTTTGGAGTTAAGAAAGAGTGGTAGAAAATGTTTTATCCCCACCAAATTTATAAGAATCTATTAGCAAAATGAAATTCTTGTTACTATGTTTTCCTCTTTACTCAAAAGTCTTCTCCTTCTAGGTTGTAGTAGTACTTTTTTGTCAGACAATATCCCCAGGAAGATCTAGGGGCCTAGATAAATAAGATATACAACATAAAGGAATTAGCTGAAGAAACAAAAGCAGAGCAATTATCTTTCTTATGTTTCTTCTGTCAAATTTGGAGAATATCCATAGCAATTACATGCAGAAAACAGTAGGTGAAATAGTTCAACCAAAAACAGTGTTCTACATATTACAAAAAGAAACATGCTGAGAATATCAAGGTTAGGTTCTGTGTGTCACAATAATACCTGATAGAGCAGTCCTCCTTCCGATAGAGCGAGAATAGTCTGATTGATGATAAGAACTGAAACAGCTTGTCCAGTTGGATTTGGTAATTCATGAGGTGCAATTACCCACTTCACCCCATTCCAGAACCTCTCATATATCGATCCACTTTGCCCTGTCACCCAAACAGATGCCTCTGACATTCTAGTGAGAGAAATCCTCCACCTTAGGGGCAGAACAGGACCATAATCCTCTTTAGTTTCATCCCCATCAGTTATATTCTGTTGCTGTTTTAAAGCCGGAGTCTCATCATCTTTCTGATCCATGTTCTCTATCGATCCCACTTTGCTGCAGCTATCATTGATGCAGGACATCAGATCAAATGGCAGATTGATTTCCACCCAGGTGTTGCTTTGCTCCTCAAACTCCCAAAATTTATTGGTTTTCTGCGTGAACTTTGTTTCTGATTGTCTGCTGGGGGGGGTGGGGCACCATGAAGAAACAGAAGTCACAAAGCACAGTACCATCTGGGACATGATACATGTTGCAGAGAAGAGGAGACCGAGGGACAGACCAGACATCATCCAGCAACAACTCCAGCATCAGAAAGTCTGCCTTAGAAGCAAGAAGAGAATGAAACAGTGAATCCCTGCAACCATGTCATGCAGAGGAGCAACTGATAAGCCTTTTGTACCCTGTTGGCAAGGCTCGATAGCTCAGAGCAGAAATCTCTGGAGGGAGAAAGAACTTCTGTTTTCTTGGAAGCATCAGATGGGCCTCCTTGTACTTGCCCAACCAGAAGCAGAAAGTTAAAAGTCTTAGTAGTGGAGAAAGGATCTTATCATTAATGTATTAATAGATGAGCCTATATCAACTTTCGTCCGGTGAAGGAAATAAAGACACCTAGATGGAGGCCTTGGTGGTTTGCTTTCTTTTTCATGGGTTCCTTGTCAACTCCTTGCTCACCCAACTAGGACAAGCATAATCAACAATATTTTTCTCAGCTGCATGATTGCTTTTTCTCCATTTTACATGTTTGATCTCATGGCAGGTGATATCTTGATCTATATCTTATCAACTCGTTCCAAATTTTCAGCAACTTCTGGTGGCTTAATTACATTATTTTGCATGACAGTGGTATTTTTAAGATAACAGTGATAGTTTGGCTCATGTATAGGACTGATGACATATTTTGAGAAGCATTACTTGCTGCAGTTATTTATTCTTCAGAATATGGTAGTTGTCCTTCTTAAATAGCAGTCATAATCAGAACGCTGAAATCATAATCTATTACATTTTTGTTTGTGAAGTTCATGATGCCGTGTTGATTAATTTAGCTGCCTGCCACATGCTTCTAAGTTCTAACCACCACCTTGACTGCAGGATGAAAGTAACCCCATTGGGAGCTCACAAGCTGCCAGATTTGCTTTGGAAAATCATGATCTGGGTTGTAGATTGTAGCACTCAATCTGAGGTAAGCTGAATAGTTGCGGTGAATGATGGTCTGATAGGGTGTTGTTGATGCAAACTGATCGTCATATTGTCATCACGAGTTAACATTTCTTTAATATTTAGCTGATTTTTTTTTTTTTTTTGTTCCTTGATCCAATGCTTAAGTTAGCGACTGTTGATGGCAATTGTTTTGACATAAAATAGCATTTTATGTAATATCTTTCGGCAGCATACATGTAGCAAAATATGATAAATTAAGCAGATTATCAACTCAAGGGACCATGGAATTGATGCCTACAGTTCCTGGTCATTTATTTAATTTGATTGTAGTCCTTAGTTTAATCAAGCATCTTATCCTATGGTTCTTGTGCAACTTGCAGCCACTGACGTCCCTCCATGTGTTGTAGGGTTTGGCTGTATCGTATTTGTGACACATCCCAACAAAACCATGGATTTGGGACCCACCACTGGAATCTCAACCTTTGGTGGGGTCCTCAGAGGAATCTTCAGGAATGCCAAGTTTGAATCTGATGGAATCTCAGGTGATCATCACTGCTTGGCTTATGTCTAAACAATAAGAATATGCTCGTCTTTGGTCTTCAAGTTCAATCTTACCCAATATTATGCATCTCTTGGCTTTCGGCATATCTAATGGAAGATTTCATAACTTATGATAAATCAAAATTTATCTATCAATTTATCAGGTTTTAGGTGAAAAAGAAAGGCTGTATATTCTCTTTTCTTTCTTTTTGTTCTGGATGGGTAAATATTGAGCTAGTTGATTGAAAGTGACTCTCACTCTACACATTAGGATTCCTTTTGCTTATCACCTAGTGATCATAAATGAACAAAGAAAGTCCACGATCCAAAGTTTACACTTCTGTTTATGTAAGCTTAGTTTATAAATTAAGAAGTTTCTTTTAATTAGAATCAACACTTTGATATATATGTATATATATATGTATATGTATGTATGTATATATATATATATATACATATATATATATACATATACATATATATATACATATACATAAATATACATACATATATATACACATATACATATATATATATACATATATATATATGTGTATATATATGTATGTATATATATATATATATACATACATATATATACATATATATATATACATATATATATATATACATATATATATATATACATATATATATATATATATATATATATATATATATACATATATATATATATATATATATGTGTGTGTGTGTGTGTGAAGCTCCAATAGATTCTCTGGCAACATGCATCTGAAGTTGAGGTCAACCAGATCATAAATGCATTGCATTATTTTTAATATTTCTTTGAGCATTGAGAACAGTAAAAAAGAGTACTGACTAGATTGATGTGTGTTTGATCACAGAAGAAGTTGACAGAATCTAGCCATTGATGGTCTCACAGAGATGTGATTTTTGTGCTGAAAGCAAGTGTTCAGCAGGAAGCAGGGAAGGAAAGCTTGCTCAACATGCACTTAGAACAGGTGATGCCTGAGACTGCAAGTGGCAGTCACTGCAGCCCAGAAAGGAGTGGAAGAGGATTAAAGTCTCTCGAGGTTCTGTCAGTGTGTGTCTGTCTCCGTAGAATGTGAAGTCTCGGCAACTTGGAAAGGTCTTCTTTGATGGAGTAGGCAAAAACCTTTTCTTTGGTTGGTGCTTAATCTATTGTGTCATGGCTCAGCATTGACTGTGTGAGGCCATGAGAGATTCAACTGCTCAACTTGAGAGTTGTGATGCCACCTACCTGCCGGCCTACCAAGAGAAGCTTGAACAGGGCCAGTGGCCCACCATACTGCTGATCTCCCAACCCCCCCTAAATTGTACATCAAACGGCAGTGTACCAATTATTTCCTATAATTTTACTTCTCCCTTTCTAATATTATATGTTTTCTTAAAAATTATTCATGCAGTAAATTTTATGGTTATGATAACACATATAACTCACTAATGATCAAGGGTTTCAAACCTCGTCCGATAAATTTTTCACCTAAAATATCAGTGTAACTCAAACTCTTCGACCCGATCGGCGCCTTAATCATCGTATTGAGGAGATACGTATAATCGGTTATGTGCTACTTAAAAAGAAAAGGAAGAATGATCTTAAGCATGAAAGCCCATTAGTGGATGGTAATCATGCTGTTGGCATGGAAGGAATGGGAAAGAAATTTCTTTTCTTTTTAACCTTATTTATGATGACAAAATTATACCTTTCTAGGCTAAGATAAGGGTACCTATGTGCATTCATTCAATGGATAGTATATTTCTTGATCTGATCACATCATAAGATTGAAATAATAGATAAATTTGATGGTGTTGGATGATGTTTGGAATAAACGAGAATAGATTTTGAGATGGTGAACTTGGATTGGATAATCAACTAAGATCATATCAGTTCTTGGAAAAAAAATTATTTATTTTCTCTAAGATCATTCGTGAAGAACTTTTATTGACAGAAATATTTGATTGAATTGACAAGCCAACAATTATCACTATCTATGATTCGATGATCTTACGCACTGTGAAGGAGTATGTTGCCACGAAAATGATGCGCGACATGGCAATGCTACTCTCGACAGCTGCTGCCAAGTATTCAAATGTTCATACGATCAAGAAGAGAGAATACATAATCTCATTCGTATAATGCTCCGAAAACGTATGTACAAGGGATCATCCTACTACCGCCAGGTAGAACAATAGTACATGAGTTGAACTCGTGACATGCAATTGCAGCAACGTTTGTTATGGATGATTTTGAAGAATCTCTATGTTGCTTAAGATCCCATAGTTCTCCTCCGGAGCTTGACGAGGATAGTAATTATGATAAGACTCGGCTGACGTCAGATGACGCCTCACGCCTCGATCGACGTGACAGTACTTGGTCAAACTAACCAGAACGTCGGCCGAGGTGCATTAACGCCTGCTCAGGCTTGGTTCTTCACGCCACGCCAATACCAATATCAGACGCTACCAACCTGCCCCCTACAAGCGGGCACATCAGGAAACAGTAAGCTTCCCTATAAATACTCTCGCATTCTGAATGGGAAGGAGGGGGAGACAGACACACAAAAAGATTTCTTCATTTGAAATCCCCTTCATATCATCTAACTCGATCGTCGAAGGGGTCGGGTCGAGCTTCCCGACCCGACCTTTGTGCAGGTCCGAAGCTGAAGGTCCCCGCGGGACGCATAGGCGAGGAGTTCTTGCCCGGAGGAAGCAGCCACCCCGTCCCGATCGGACTACCTTAGCACGATCACCTCGGTGCGCTCGAGGAATGCCCCAGGGAGATCCCCGTCATCCGGATCCGAACCGAGCCGCGTCGACCCCGAGGCCACGGCTCCAGGTTGTTTACACTAACAGAGCTTATCAATTCTAAGGATAATTTTGAAATATAATATATAATATGATAACATTAGTTTTAATTATCAATTCTAAGGATAATTTTGAAATATAATATATAATATGATAACATTAGTTTTAATTATCAATTCTAAGGATTAATAATCATAGTTATAATAGTGCATAGTAGTGGGAGGAAAAGAGAAGTCATCGATGATGGAAGGTGTGGAAAGAGGGGGCAATGGTGACGGAGGAACCTTCGGACGACGATAGCAGTGGCAGAGGAAGCTGTAGACAACGACAATGGCGATGGAGAAAACTACAAACCCACCCTGAGTTGCACATAAAAGATCAAGCGGTAGAGGGAGATGCGCACGACCAAAGATATAACGAAGGAGGAAGATTCGAACCTCTTATATCGACAGCGGAAGAGGAAGCCTGTGACCCTTTCGTCGGCTGCAATGATGGATCATAAGGTTTATCGAGCAAGTCAAGAGAGGGTGAGGGTGGGTTTCGATGTTTACTATCAGACGTAGTTGGTCCGATAAAACTCTCTGTAATGTTGGCTTTGGTCGATGATACATCTCCTGGAGATGAAAGAACATAACGATTATACAGTACTTTGCTTTTGCTTGCGAGTGTTGTGTGCAGACATCAAATGATTCATCCACATCGAAATCCAACTGAGAGTCGAGCAAACGGACATGCCTCACATGACCCATCGAATGGGACGACCGACACCCATTGCTTGCCCCAAAGTCAACAACCGCTGCCCTCAGATATTGTCGCCGGGGAGCCTGTGACGGAGACGACCGAGGGTTTGCCGTCGAGCTGAACACACCATGAAAAGACACTGTAGCTTCTTTGACTTTCACGACATGGGTCATGTGGACAATGGGAATCATATCCTCGGGTCAATGACACAAGCGACGAGCGATTCTCTCGCAGCAAACACGCAGCTGAATCATGGTCTGCTCGACGCCGTGCGAGTCGAAAGCCACGACGGGGAAATTTACGACCAGGATGGCTTCGGGCGAAGAAGACAGTCAAACTTAGCGACTCTGCCTGTTGTTCGTACTTTGACCCGACGAGCTTTTAGATGTTGATGATGCCATTGATCCATCAACTTGTGCGTGTATATATATACATCGATGATCTCTGCCGTCCGTGGGCGAGCATCGTGTATCGGATATTCCTGATCGACGGTGGTGATTTTATCGAGTAGGGTTGATGAACGAGCGAACCGCCATATGGTCGGAGGGTGGCCTGGTTCACGTTTCCCGTCAGATGACGTCAGCGACGAGGTTCGCCGTCAGTGGGAACCGCATCAGCCGGAGTAACCCCCTCGGCGATGAACGACAGCGACGTTAGTGGCAACTGAATTACCCAAAGTACCCCTCTTCTCGGACTGTGATCTTAAGCGTGTCGATGGCATCGCCGTAATTATGTACGACGAGTCTCTGCTGACGTGGATTGTCGATTAAATGTACGTCAGCAGGCTCGAAATAAAGAGAAAAAAAAGGTGAGATTCCGCGTTATTACTTTCGTGAGCTGTTTCGGGGTCCGAAGGAGTCGGGGATAACGTTGTGAGTCCCCGATATATATATATATATATATATATATAGAC